AACGCAGCTGAACAAAGCGCGCGATTTTCTGGGCATTATATTACCACTGCCGGCTTGAGTAATATTGAGCTGCTGTGAAACGATTTTAGTAATAAGCAGGGAGCCTAGGTATCCCGAATTATGCACTATGAGTCGATGAAGCCTATTCTATATTCCTAATTGCGCTGAACTGAAGGGCTTAGTCCCAAACATAGACCAATTAGGATCTATCAAACGGCGACAAATGTATCGGCTTGGAACAATATCCTGAATTAATATTTCGTATTACGTTGAATTCAATTATTCTGATTCCTCGATGTGCACAGATCTCAAACGTATATGCTACTGATAGACTACTAAAATGCGATACCTTGTGATGTCTTCCCATGATGGCTGCTTGTAATCAAGCGTTGTTTTCAATTATTGTTCGATGGAATCTTTATCCAAGTATACACAATTGTTTCAAGATGTACTCGAGTTCGCATCGACCGATTCCGAGAATCGAAAGCGGACCCAGTTTCCCCGCTGAATTTACATTTCTGCATGATTATTAGCTCGGGGATTCCCCCTGGCATCATTGCAACTGCGCCGATACAGATCCTGATGGAGTAATTGATGATATATTGCATTCTCAGTCCTTCTTTACAGTGGCCCAAATAAGGAAATCGCCTTTTTGAGAGACAGCGAGGAGAGTTAACTGTTCTCCAGTAAAGGTCACGCAATATTTAGTCATTCTTAACTCGTGCAAATTTTAAAATGGTAATGAACCTTAATTTATAGGGTTACTAATCACAGTTCAGCTAGCTGAAGGAATTGAAGCATCCGAGCACAAGAGCCCATATTCTGAGTTTGGAACTTATAAGGCGTGGAGTTCTGATCATGGACACGAAATATCGTCGCTTGCCCATTGTGTGGTCGCTTAAGGCAGGTCGTTTGTTTTCATTATTTTAAGCTTGCTTTAGAAGGAGGCCTTTGTCGTAACAAGCGTACAAAATGAACATCGTACTGTCTTAGAACGATCTCGTATGATTAGGGTTCCAACAGACTGGGCACACCTTTGGTGCAGCTGGTATAGCTTGCAGAAGACGTAACCTAAACGTCCACCGGCCATGTGAAATGCTGTTAACCACAAAGTCCAAACACCAGCGATTACAAACAAATTTATTGATTACCAAGATAATTTTGGACGAGTAGAAATCTTAATGGGAATTTTATATTTTACAGTTAACGGCTAGAGATTGGATTTTTATCAAAACAGGCAAGTTTGAAACTTTGGTATCTGTTTAAAAATTACTGAATGCCTGATGAACACTATACCCGAACATAGTACACCGAAGTTATACTCAATAATTACTTTTGACATATATTACATTTTTGGTAATTGAAGAAAAAGGTAAGTGTACAAATTTAATATAAAATTTTTCAGCTGTTAAACTAGATCAATATCTTGCTTTTTCATAATGTACCAGTACCATTATCAAAAAATAATCATCAGTTTAATTTTCCATTTCAAAATGTAGCTACTCCTTCGTCATTTCATTAGTGTCAACATTATCACTTTGCTGATTTGCTGCTTTAATCAAAGGGAATTACCAAGGAGAATGATGGAGGTAGGAGCCGATTTTTGTATTTGACCACGAGATGAAAGAAACAGGATTATAAAAATAACTAAGCTATTTAAAGGAGCACAGTCGAGGCATTTTGAGTTATTTAGGCCACGTAGAAAATTAGCTTAGAATTGGAGAAAACCTGAAAGTAGTTGTTTACTAAGATAAAAAAATAATAATCCATAAAGGAACAAGTAGCTTAAGGATGCAGAAGATTAACACGGATTTACAATCCATGAACATGAAATATTTAGGTTTAACTTTTCAAAATGCGTAAACCGTGACGTAGCTCCTTTAAATCCTTGCAACACGGTGTCGTATTGTTTTAGCAACATTATCAAGGTCTACTCTAGGTTTCTGGAGAACATCAATGAGATACGAAACTGTTCTCCCTTGGCTTCCTAATTTATCTAACAACAACTTTGTAGGGCTTTCATTTTTTCCTCGCAAGTGTTCATAATATTTAAGTTCACATCTTGAAATTCCGGCCGCGCTGCCTACTTTCTGCCAACCAAACTCCTGGCTTTCAGCTCCATGAGGCACATCCAATTTCATTACCAATATGTCCTCTAGATCTGGAGGTATTTCTGATAAGTTCAGACCTAAACACAAGAAGTACAGTAAATAGAATTCTCTTGTTTAGTTCAAACTGTAACAATAATATCTAGCTTAGACTATTTCAATATGACAATCAAAACAATTTTTACAAATTTTAAGTTGAGGTTAAACAAGTGCCAAAAAGTTAAAGTTGGCTACCACTGTACAGCTGTATTTACTCTTCCGAAGAGAAGATACAGCTGTGTGTACTCTTCCGAAGAGTAGATTGTTGGTCAAAGGCAATCGGTTTTTTTTTTTCCCAAGGTAGCTATATTATTGCGACATTAATTTTCATAACTAACTTAGCCTTATAAATAATGTAGACAGACAAAGAGAGAGTTTCCTTGAGAGGCAGCTACATGCAATGCTCCTTGTTTGAAATGGCTAAGTCTACACGGTGTATTCCTCGGGGGGTGAGGGGTATATTCTGGCCAGAATTAGTTTTCAAACTACTATCAGGCTGTACTCTAAGTTAATTCACGTTGTCTAAAGCTATAATGTTTAAAGGCTATGATTTCCTCATTACCTTCCAATTCTGTGGCAGCAGCAGTTTCATCCCGAAGTTCATTCCTGCCTTCTTTGTCCGATAACTCATCAGCTGAATCATCTTTCGATAAATTCAAAATAAGAAGAATTAATAAATATTGTTCAATATTTTCGTTATAGAGAGTCAACCTCTTGAAGAGCACTCTTTGCACAGCTGTCACCTGTTTGTGAGTGACATCAAGTAATTGTTTTAAATTGGCTTGAGAGTGAAAACTCAACTTACACATAAGAAGTTAAAAAAGAAATAACAAATAAACTGCTGATAAGAGACGATATACAAAATTGGCATCTGCAGCCCATTCAATTCATCCTGTTTCTCAAGCCTTGAATTAATCCACTATTCAGCTAGTGCTAAAGTACTAGGACTGAATAAGTACAGAGTGTTTGGATTGAATACTATGCTATAACAAGTGTCAGCTAAGATCTGCAACAACAACAGCCAAATAATAATAATAACTATTATTATAATAATATATAATAATAATGATAATAATAAATGTATAAATATATATTATAATATAAAATATAATTGTAAATCTATATATATATATATA